CTGGCAGCAGCATGAGGAGGCGGAATAGGGGCCCATGGCAGATTAGGGGCCTGGCAGCAGCTATACGGAGGCCCGAATTTTAAATCTGCCACCCCAGCCCGTACCCTATGATCAAAAAATTCAACACACCAGCAGTGTGTGAGGAGTTGACCTAAAAGTGGCACATGGCAAGTGTGGCGATGGAGACAGCAGCAATGAGGAGGCAAACACCCATGAGAGACTCCTGGAACCTGTCAGCATATATGAGGACCGGTTATATACATGGGATAGACCTGGCAGCCCGTTATAGGAGGCCTGCTGCCATCCGCCGACCCAAGTGACAGCAAGTGTAGGAGACCTGAAAGTGGCACATGGCCGAGAGTGGCGATGGAGACAGCAGCAATGGGAGGCCCGTAACAGGGACCCAGAGAACTCTGGACCTGGCAGCAGCATGAGGGAGGCGGTATAGGGGCCCATGGCAGATTAGGGGGCCTGGCAGCAGCTATGGGAGGCCCGTAATCTGCCAGCACCCTATGACAAAAAATGGAACACACCACAGTGTTTGAGAACCTGAAAGTGGCACATGGCAGAGTGATTCGATGTGGACAGCAGCAATGGAGGCCGTACAGGGACCCATGAGAGACTCTGGACCTAGCTGGCAGCAGCATGAGGAGGCGGTATAGGTGCCCATGGCAGATTAGGGGGCCTGGCAGCAGCTATGGGAGGCCCGTAATCTGCCAGCACCCTATGTCAAAAAAATGGAACACACCAGCATGTGTGAGGAGACCTGAAAGTGGCACATGGCAGAGTGTGGCGATGGCACAGCAATGGGAGGCCGTACAGGGACCCATGAGAGACACTGGACCTGGCAGCAGCATGAGGAGGCGGTATATAGGGGCCCATGTGCAGATTAGGGGGCCTGGCAGCAGCTATGGGAGGCCCGTAATCTGCCAGCACCCTATGTCAAAATGAACACACCAGCTGTGAGGAGACCTGAAAGTGGCACATGGCATGAGACTGGACCTACAGGGCAGCAGCATGAGGAGGCGGTAGCAGAGGAGTACAGGGGCCCATGGCAGATTAGGGCCTGGCAGCAGCTATGGGAGGCCCGTAATCTGCCAGCACCCTATGACAAAAAATGGAACACACCAGCAGTGTGAGGAGACCTGAAAGTGGCACATGGCAGAGTGTGGCGATGGAGACAGCAGCAATGGGAGGCCGTACAGGGACCCATGAGAGACTCTGGACCTGGCAGCAGCATGAGGAGGCGGTATAGGGGCCCATGGCAGATTAGGGGCCTGGCAGCAGCTATGGGAGGCCCGTAATCTGCCAGCACCCTATGACAAAAAAATCAACACACACCAGCAGTGTGTGAGGAGACCTGAAAGTGGCACATGGCAGAGTGTGGCGATGGAGACAGCAGCAATGGGAGGGCCGTACAGGGACCCATGAGAGACTCTGGACCTGGCAGCAGCATGAGGAGGCGGTATAGGGGCCCATGGCAGATTAGGGGCCTGGCAGCAGCTATGGGAGGCCCGTAATCTGCCAGCACCCTATGTCAAAAAATGGAACACACCAGCAGTGTGAGGAGACCTGAAAGTGGCACAGTGTGGCATGACAGCACAATGGGAGGCTGTGGACCCATGGCAGCACTGAGGACCTGGCAGCAGCATGAGGAGGCGGTACAGGGGCCCATGGCAGATTAGGGGCCTGGCAGCAGCTATGGGAGGCCCGTAATCTGCCAGCACCCTATGTCAAAAAAATGGAACACACCAGCAGTGTGTGAGGAGACCTGAAAGTGGCACATGGGCAGAGTGTGGCGATGGAGAACAGCAGCAATGGGAGGCCGTACAGGGGACCCATGAGAGACTCTGGACCTGGCAGCAGCATGAGGAGGCGGTATAGGGGCCCATGGCAGATTAGGGGCCTGGCAGCAGCTATGGGAGGCCCGTAATCTGCCAGCACCCTATGACAAAAAATGAACACACCAGCAGTGTGAGGAGACCTGAAAGTGGCACATGGCAGAGTGGCATGAGACACACTGTGGACCTGGCAGCAGCATGACTTGAGGCATGAGGAGGCGGTACAGGGGCCCATGGCAGATTAGGGGCCTGGCAGCAGCTATGGGAGGCCCGTAATCTGCCAGCACCCTATGTCAAAAAATGGAACACACCAGCAGTGTGTGAGGAGACCTGAAAGTGGCACATGGCAGAGTGTGGCGATGGAGACAGCAGCAATGGGAGGCCGTACAGGGACCCATGAGAGACTCTGGACCTGGCAGCAGCATGAGGAGGCGGTATAGGGGCCCATGGCAGATTAGGGGCCTGGCAGCAGCTATGGGAGGCCCGTAATCTGCCAGCACCCTATGTCAAAAAATTGGAACACACCAGCAGTGTGTGAGGAGACCTGAAAGTGGCACATGGCAGAGTGTGGCGATGGAGACAGCAGCAATGGGAGGCCGTAACAGGGACCCATGAGAGACTCTGGACCTGGCAGCCTGGCATGAGGATGAGGTAGAGGGCGGTACAGGGGCCCATGGCAGATTAGGGGCCTGGCAGCAGCTATGGGAGGCCCGTAATCTGCCAGCACCCTATGTCAAAAAAATGGAACACACCAGCAGTGTGAGGAGACCTGAAAGTGGCACATGGCAGAGTGTGGCGATGGAGACAGCAGCAATGGGAGGCCGTACAGGGACCCATGAGAGACTCTGGACCTGGCAGCAGCATGAGGAGGCGGTATAGGGGCCCATGGCAGATTAGGGGCCTGGCAGCAGCTATGGGAGGCCCGTAATCTGCCAGCACCCTATGTCAAAAAATTGAACACACCAGCAGTGTGTGAGGAGACCTGAAAGTGGCACATGGCAGAGTGTGGCGATGGAGACAGCAGCAATGGGAGGCCGTACAGGGACCCATGAGAGACTCTGGACCTGGCAGCAGCATGAGGAGGGCGGTACAGGGGCCCATGGCAGATTAGGGGCCTGGCAGCAGCTATGGGAGGCCCGTAATCTGCCAGCACCCTATGTCAAAAAATGGAACACACCAGCAGTGTGTGAGGAGACCTGAAAGTGGCACATGGCAGATGAGAGACAGCACAATGTGTACAGGGACCCTGGCAGCAGATGGCAGCAGCATGAGGAGGCGGTACAGGGGCCCATGGCAGATTAGTAGGGCCTGGCAGCAGCTATGGGAGGCCCGTAATCTGCCAGCACCCTATGTCAAAAAATGAACACACAGCAGCAGTGTGAGGAGACCTGAAAGTGGCACATGGCAGAGTGTGGCGATGGAGACAGCAGCAATGGGAGGCCGTACAGGGACCCATGAGAGACTCTGGACCTGGCAGCAGCATGAGGAGGCGGTATAGGGGCCCATGGCAGATTAGGGGCCTGGCAGCAGCTATGGGAGGCCCGTAATCTGCCAGCACCCCTATGTCAAAAAATTCAACACACCAGCATGTGTGAGGAGACCTGAAAGTGGCACATGGCATGAGACAGACTGTGGACCTGGCAGCAGCATGAGGAGGCGGTACAGGGGCCCATGGCAGATTAGGGGCCTGGCAGCAGCTATGGGAGGCCCGTAATCTGCCAGCACCCTATGTCAAAAAATGGAACACACCAGCAGTGTGTGAGGAGACCTGAAAGTGGCACATGGCAGAGTGTGGCGATGGAGACAGCAGCAATGGGAGGCCCGTACAGGGACCCATGAGAGACTCTGGACCTGGCAGCAGCATGAGGAGGCGGTATACAGGGGCCCATGGCAGATTAGGGGCCTGGCAGCAGCTATGGGAGGCCCGTAATCTGCCAGCACCCTATGTCAAAAAATTGAACACACAGCAGCAGTGTGTGAGGAGACCTGAAAGTGGCACATGGCAGAGTGTGGCGATGGAGACAGCAGCAATGGGAGGCCGTACAGGGACCCATGAGAGACTCTGGACCTGGCAGCAGCATGAGGGAGGCGGTATAGGGGCCCATGGCAGATTAGGGGCCTGGCAGCAGCAGCTATGGGAGGCCCGTAATCTGCCAGCACCCTATGTCAAAAAAATTGGAACACACCAGCAGTGTGATGAGACCTGAAAGTGGCACATGGCAGAGTGTGGCGATGGAGACAGCAGCAATGGGGAGGCCGTACAGGGACCCATGAGAGAGACTCTGGACCTGGCAGCAGCATGAGGAGGCGGTATAGGGGCCCATGGCAGATTAGGGGCCTGGCAGCAGCTATGGGAGGCCCGTAATCTGCCAGCACCCTATGTCAAAAAATTCAACACACCAGCAGTGTGTGAGAGACCTGAAAGTGGCACATGGCAGAGTGTGGCGATGGAGACAGCAGCAATGGGAGGCCGTACAGGGACCCATGAGAGACTCTGGACCTGGCAGCAGCATGAGGAGGCGGTATATAGGGGCCCATGGCAGATTAGGGGCCTGGCAGCAGCTATGGGAGGCCCGTAATCTGCCAGCACCCTATGTCAAAAAATTGGAAACACACCAGCAGTGTGAGGAGACCTGAAAGTGGCACATGGCAGATGGCGATGGAGAGCAGCAAATGGAGGCCGTACAGGACCCATGACAGACCTGGCGAGCAGCAGCATGAGGAGGCGGTAAATAGGGGCCCATGGCAGATTAGGGGCCTGGCAGCAGCTATGGGAGGCCCGTAATCTGCCAGCACCCTATGTCAAAAAATTGAACACACCAGCAGTTGTGTGAGGAGACCTGAAAGTGGCACATGGCAGAGTGTGGCCATGGAGACAGCAGCAATGGGAGGCCGTACAGGGACCCATGAGAGACTCTGGACCTGGCAGCAGCATGAGGAGGCGGTATAGGGGCCCATGGCAGATTAGGGGCCTGGCAGCAGCTATGGGAGGCCCGTAATCTGCCAGCACCCTATGTCAAAAAATTGGAACACACCAGCAGTGTGTGAGGAGACCTGAAAGTGGCACCCATGGCATGAGACAGCACACTGGGAGGCCGTGGACCCATGGCAGCAGCATGAGGAGGCGTATACAGGGGCCCCATGGCAGATTAGGGGGCCTGGCAGCAGCTATGGGAGGCCCGTAATCTGCCAGCACCCTATGACAAAAAATTGAACACACCAGCAGTGTGTGAGGAGACCTGAAAGTAGGTGGCACATGGCAGAGTGTGGCGATGGAGACAGCAGCAATGGGAGGCCGTACAGGGACACCCATGAGAGACTCTGGACCTGGCAGCAGCATGAGGAGGCGGTATATAGGGGCCCATGGCAGATTAGGGCCTGGCAGCAGCTATGGGAGGCCCGTAATCTGCCAGCACCCTATGTCAAAAAATTTGAACACACCAGCAGTGTGTGAGGAGACCTGAAAGTGGCACATGGCAGAGTGTGGCGATGGAGACAGCAGCAATGGGGAGGCCGTACAGGGACCCATGAGAGACTCTGGACCTGGCAGCAGCATGAGAGGAGGCGGTATAGGGGCCCATGGCAGATTAGGGGCCTGGCAGCAGCTATGGGAGGCCCGTAATCTGCCAGCACCCTATGTCAAAAAATGGAACACACACCAGCAGTGTGAGGAGACCTGAAAGTGGCACATGGCATGAGACACTGTGGTGAACGGGGCAGCATGGCAGAGGGCGGTACAGGGGCCCATGGCAGATAGGGGGGCAGCAGCTATGGGAGCCCGTAATCTGCCAGCACCCAATGGGGAACACAACCAGCAGTGAGGAGGAGACCTGAAAGGGGCCCATGGCAGAGACTCTGTGGACCTGGCAGCAGCATGAGGGGCCGTAACGGGTATATAGGGGCCCATGGCAGATTAAGGGGCCTGGCAGCAGCTATGGGAGGCCCGTAATCTGCCAGCACCCTATGACAAAAAATGGAACACACCAGCAGTGTGTGAGGAGACCTGAAAGTGGCACATGGCAGAGTGTGGCGATGGAGACAGCAGCAATGGGAGGCCGTACAGGGACCCATGAGACACTCTGTGGACCTGGCAGCAGCATGAGGAGGCGGTATAGGGGCCCATGGCAGATTAGGGGCCTGGCAGCAGCTATGGGAGGCCCGTAATCTGCCAGCACCCTAGACAAAAAATGGAACACACCAGCAGTGTGAGGACACCTGAAAGTGGCACATGGCAGAGTGTGGCGAATGGAGACAGCAGCAATGGGAGGCCGTACAGGGACCCATGAGACACTGTCTGGACCTGGCAGCAGCATGAGGAGGCGGTATAGGGGCCCATGGCAGATTAGGGGCCTGGCAGCAGCTATGGGAGGCCCGTAATCTGCCAGCACCCTATGACAAAAAATGGAACACACCAGCAGTGTGAGTAGACCTGAAAGTGGCACATGGCAGCCTTTTCAGGGCAAATTCAGCTAGTTGGGGCCAAAGGTCAAGGTTTCGTTGCCCAGTAGTCAAGGGGATGTGTCTACCTCGGTTGGCAGGGTGCTGTCCAAGTAGGCCCAAGCCTGTTGTTTGAGGTCCTGCTCCAGGTCCACCTGATGCTAGCTGCTGCTAGCTGCGGCTTAGGTTTAGTAGTTTACCTCACTGCTCTAGGGTGAAGAAAGCTACTCATCATCGACGTGCAGACTGAGGCAGCCGCTTCTGCTGGTGGAGCAAAACCACTGCTCTACCACCCCACCCCTCCCCTGCCTGCCTGGCAGCGGAACGCGAGCCCACAGTGGTCTGAGGATGGACGTTGGCAGCACAAATGGCAGAGACCCAACTGACTACATAGGTG